TTAAAAAAACGCGAGCTCGAATGATCCCCTGAAAGACACCCCTGAAGGTCTACCGTAACCTTAAATTTGAATCTTATGCAAAATGTTCTTGCTTGTCAACTTAACAAAGTCTGCGGGGATCTGCCATAAAAAGATCTTTCGTACTGATGACGTCACCGAATGGAGCAAGTGCCGGAAAGAATGGTGCTGGCCGATAGGTTAAACTCGTGGGATTGCGCAAATGTTATATTAGTTCATTGTTACCAAAGATGCGATGCAAGGACATTTGCATTTTCAGCGCATGACAAGGAAGCGGGTGTTTCTTTGGCGGGAACTCTGCAATTTTTCGGCGCGTTGTTCCACAATTGACTGACAGTAACTTTGAAGTACTCCAAGCAACCTTCAAGTATTAATTCATATTTGCTCAGGCATTTTCCCACACTTCCGATTTCTATTGTTCCCGTGTAAAATGAAATAATACCACCTCTATGTCGGAGAAGGAGACGAAAAAAAGCCATGCGGTCGAGCGTTTATCAACAGATTGAAAGAAATAAGTGACAGAAAGAGTTAAAGTGGCCAAACTGGAAATCTCGTTTCTAAACTTGCTCAGCAGGTTGTGTCCTAACCCGTCGCTAATTTTCGGGCAATCTCTGATGAAAAACCGACGATATTATGTCATTTCATAAGAGGAGAACTGAACACGGTAGCTTGTGTTGAATTCACGCGGAACTTAGGAAGTCATCGCAAACTGCTTCCAGCAAACCGTCGAGCAACATGAAACATTGCCCCGCAACATTGCAGAGTTCCAACTTTCCCTCGCTAATGAGAGAAAATCTGGAAATTAGAGAGAAAGTTTTTTAAAAAGGTCTTTCGGCTAGCAGTGTGTTACTGAATATTCATCGAGTTGAAGCAGCTGAAGAGTACCCTGTAACCATAGACGGATAACTGCTCCACTTTTTCCTCCGTATCTATTTCGTTGTTTTATCGTTGAATTTTTGGCGTCGTCGGGAAAGCCTTTTCCATTGTGCTCTCTTTACTTGGGACAGTGATGATTCATATATCCAGAATCACAGCTCATTTCAAGATGTAGCGGGTCAGCGATACATATGTTCTTCGCTCTGCGCGAGTTACAAGAAAGTTATGTGTGTAGAGACGATCACTGTACATCATTTTCATCTATCTGGTCAACGCTTTTGATGCGGTCAACAGCGAAAATTGCCTATTCATCAGCTTTCGAAGGTTGATTGCCCTCTTAAGTTCCTCGTGATAATCAGGTCCTTTTAGAAAGACATGCAGGGTACAGTCCTGTTCAACGATTAATCCTCGGACACCTTCCCATTCAACAGTGCAGCAAATTGAAGGCAGGTGCACTTGCAACTGGAAATACAAAAATATAACTTCTCCGTTTTGCCAACTGTTGTCTCAATTTCGACATAATGAATCAGGGCCGCAGCTAGTAACAGGCAAACCGAGGCATTTGCTGAGTCATTTTTTCGTTTCTGTTGTTTTAAGTCATCAAAAACACCCTAAATTCCCAAGAAGAGAATTAAACCATGGACATTACCTCAGTCACAACTCATTCCTTGGACACTACCTCAGTCATAATTTGTTTCTGGCTACGGCCCTGTCAGAATGAACATTCTCGGATTATCATTCATTCTCTAACAACCACTCAAACCACTCGTTTTTTTTTTTGTTTTTTTTCCAATATGATAACAATTAAAAAGACTGTGATCTAAAAATCTCCCAAGACAGCACTAACCATTTCTTATTGGCAAAATTTGTTTAGTTCTTGCCGAGGATATTTTAATATTATGACCACTTTTTAGTGTGTCAAGTGTTGAAAAGCCCTATATGTTTAATATCTAAACAACTCGGATACAGACAACACAATATGAATAGCACATCTTCTACCCACGGCACTGATATTTCACTGCAGAATAGTCACTCAACAGTGCGAACTTACATTGTTCGGTGACTCTCCTTAGCTTGTCGGAAAGAAATAGTTCACAATTAACTATGAATTTACTTAGCCATTTTTTCTAACCCCATGCATAGCTTTGCATTTTACGAAATTGATTTTCTAACGTTTCTTTGTAAAATAAAAATATGTTTTCATCTTAGGAGATGGCAACACGGGATCATTCGCTATTATTAGTGTCGATTGATACGCTACAACTTTGTTGCATGCCAAAGGCGTACGTTAATACGACAAGAAATCTTTTGCTACATAAATCAAGCATGCAACTGGCTTGCACATTGTTGTGTACCACTCTAAAAGTGTCCTAAGTCTTTGAAACATGTTTTGAACCGCTAAGGCAACAGTAACCTCGGACAGAGTACAATGATGAAAGTCGCATACGTAGAGGTCTAAATCGAACCTTAGAAAAAGGTTAATGGACCCACTAACTTTACTGTCCATACATAAACAGTGTTTCATTTGTGCTTCAGTTTTAAACGAATTTCACAGATGTTTACAGCTCAACATATCCTAAATATTACAACACAACCTGTCCTAATGACATGGCATGATTTGGCAGCCGTTTTGTTAATCCTGACGGACTGCCTTCAATAAAGATGTTCAATTGGCTTCATCAAGTTTAACTAGAAGCCCGTAAAGAATTATGGATCCACGTTCCTTAGTGGACCATTCAATTTCCTGATTGCTAAACTTCGGGTCGATCTCAGATGTAGCGCCGATTGTCTGAGGCCCAACTTGATAGCTCTCTGGGTTGATACAAAGCTGCAGAACTGCTTTTGAGCTGAAAGTCTTGTTTGTTGAGGGGTCTTGAAAACTACAAGGTCACAGAAAAGCCATAATATGATAAATAAATACAGGCAAACCATACAGAAAATAGACGGTTTATGTGCGATGTTTTAATATGATTAGAATGAAAAAAAGTTTTATAAAAATAACGGTTGACAATTAATAGAGGGTCAACCTGAAAGGACGCAGTGGCCTCATGGTTAGTGCGCCCGCTTCCAGTTCGAGCGGCCCGGGTTCTAGCCCTGAAAAGTAACTCTCAGTGCCTCTCTCCACCCAGGTGTATAAATGGGTACCGACGAACTTAATGCTGGGGATTAACCTAGCATCCCGTCCAGGAGAAATAAACATACTCCCTCCTAGCTAGTCGCTTTATGCTACCGAGACCGGGATAAGCACCGGCCAGAAGGGCCACTTGGCTCGTATGCAGACTTTACCTATCTGAAAGAGGGTTATAAATATCATTTCCCAGCCCGAGCTTTACCCAAGTCCCATTTATCAGCCTATTTTGAGCCCAAATTCCAATCGCATTCCTATTTTCTTGTTTATGATCCCCAGTAGTGGAGACTCAAATCCCAATTCCCAATATCATTTTACCCCGCGAGGCCCAGCTTAATCCAGATGTAGTGAATCGATAAACCGATAATCGATATTAATCGATAAAAATCGATATCAATCGAAGAAAATCGATGAAGAAGAAGAGTTGTGAGACATCAATTTTTATCGATTGCCGATAACAATCGATAGCAATTGACTCATCGATTGGTGTCGATAATTATCGATTGTTATCGAAAATTGTTTTTGTCGTTTTACAAGTTACACTGACAAAATTTCTCTAAAATGGCTTTATCGAGTCAATTTATCATAGCCTGCATATCTTTTACAATCATTGACAAAATAACAAGAACGGAACCAACTGCTTCAATGGTCCAAAATATTTCTGCCAAAATCTTTCTTTGCCAGATTACGACACCGGAAGAAGCTCAACCCAGAGTAGCAGCGTAAAACCCCTAGTCCCATTATTGTAGCGTCGCCATTAACATGAAGCAAAGTAAACAACAGAGTCAGTTTTCTAGAGAATCCAATTATTTCCATCAGGAAACAAACGTAAGAATACATCAAGGAAAATATAATCTAGTACAGTAGCATGCTGAAGATGAACGTCTCGTGTTGGTCCAGGTATTGTTTTACACAGTAACAAAGCCATCTTTGGCCAAAAACGATAAAAATCGATATTCCTGAAGACAGGAATTATCGATTGTTATCGATTTTTGCCAATCGATAGCACTCAATGAAGAAATTTTTGATTATTATCGATTGCAAATATCAATCGATAGCAATCGACAGTTGATGTCGGTTAATATCGATTGACTCGATTGATTTCCGATATCAATTTTTACCGATTGACTACACCTGGACTTGATACATAGCCATGATTTTGCTCAATTGCAATATGTGTAACGAGAGGACGAGATTCAAATCCAGGGTAAGTGAGATGAATTCTCGTAAATTTGGTACAATTAATAGGGCTATCAGCTCCTGAAGGTCAGGTGATACTTCGAATTGTACGCAACTTGTTGCTGTTTAGGTTCACCCATCATTTAAACAGCAATAAAGGTTCGGTTAATTTAGATAGAATGTCGGCCAAGAAGGACACTTATAGTGCCGATCTTACCCAGCCCTTGGAGAATACTCGAATGCAAACAGATGGTGGCAACTGAGGGGAAAAACGTTCAGATTACCTTTTGGGTTTTGCATAGCAGTTGTGTCCAGAGTATCGGACACTTGGTGAGACAAAGATCTGTTTTGTGTCAAATCCTTTTGGCTTTCTGCTATCATTATAATGTCCATCTACCTCGCTTAACTTTTTTCCTCCGAGCGCGACATCACCTGCACGTAAAATTAAACAATTTTGAAATCAAAATCAAGTCTTCAATTTATT